GCCAAACCAAAAACAACAACAGCCACACACCACCACCACTACCACAACCAACAACAAAAAACCTACAAAAAACCCATCCACTTACTTGGCTACCTCTATGTCTGCCTCCCACGACTCCGGGGAGGGATGGGAGCAGCAGAGCCCAGTGACGAGCGTGGAAACCAGTGTAACGACCGTGAGCACTAGCGACACTGACGACACTGTGGCCACGTGAGCGGAGTTGGGGTCAAAGGTCGTACCTTGGGTCAGGTAGTCTCCAATCCCAAGCAGGCCGAACACGCACATAAAACTGCCACCTGGCGGGCAGTTTAAAAAAAAGTTTTAGTGAGTGTTTTACGGCACTTGCAGCACAAAAAGGTCATATAAAAAAGTTTTAGTAATTCTTTTACGGCACTTGCAAATGGAAATGGAAAACGAAATGGAAATGGATTGGGCACACCCTGAGGAGACCCCCGACAAGCACCACCAGACAGGCTTTGACGTGGAACCCACAAGGAAAACGTAAGAAAGGAAAACAAAAGATGACATGGAGGCGAGCGGTACAAGTGGAAATGGAACAGGTGGGGACATCATGGAAACAGCTAGAAACGGATGCACAGGACAGGCTCCGCTGTAGAAATATTGTTGATGGCCTATGCTCCACAGGGCGTTAAAAAGGGCAAGAGAGAGACACTTGCAACACAATAAGGTCATATAAGTGCCGAAGATTAGATTTGTTACAAGAGAGTAACAAATACAAAAAAGAAGGAGGGGAGATAAAGACGATAGATGTTTGATAGGAAAGAAGGAGCAAACCACACCAGGACACCCTCCAACCACAAAGATCTGGGTGATAGTAAAAACGTAGATCCCCTCTGTGGTACCCTCAAATTACCATTACGATAAGGGTCGTTTTAAAGTTTTAGTAGAGGTTTTACGGTGCTCGCAACTGCATATGGTCATGTGAGCGCCAGAAGATTAGAAGTGTTACAAGAGAGTAACAAATATAAAAAAAGAAGAAGGGGAGATAAGGACGATAGATTTTTGATAGGAAAAAAGAAGCAAACCACACCAGAGCATCCGCCAACCACCCACGATAAGGGTAGAACATACTAAAACACACGCAGGGAAAACACACACACACACACACACACACACACACACACACACACACACACACACATACACACACACACACACACACACACACACTCACACACACACTCACTTACTCACTCATTCATACACAAAACACACACACACACACACAAACACACTCACACATATATACATACCCACACGACATATCCCCTCTAAATTTCTCAAACTTGTCATAAATACAACACAATAAACACAAATTCAAAACAAAGTGAAACAAACATCTCTCTCCCCC